GGGAAATTCAGTCTCTGTAGTGTGGCTGAATATTTCACATGTTTCAAAATGTGCAAAACATTTTTTACGTAATTGCGATTGAAATAGTATTATTTTCTGCCTGAAGGATTTGATATTGGTGTATAAATCAGGGAGAAGCTGATTTTCTCCTTGCAATCTCAAATTCAGTTCGTTCATATGATTTGTCAAATCGACATAGAAGGCTAACTTCCACATCCATTCACTATTTTCTAAATCGGCAAAAGGACGCTGTTTCTCATTTAAAAAATTTCGATCTCTGCTCGAAGTTCAAAAAAGCGCTTAAGGACTTTTCCACAACTAAGCCAGCGTACGGCAGTATAATATGGTAAATCATTTTCTCCAATCTGTTGAATAAACTCGCGGAATTGTCGGTGATTCAGCCCAGTGGATCTTATGAAGTTAACAACTGATATGATTGGTTTTAGAACTTCAGACATATCCAAACATTTTCAGCACAAGGACTGTTGATACAATGTAAGACTAATGGTTTTGAACCACCATCATTTTCTACAGCCTTTGACACAAGTGCAACCACTCCTTTATTTTTACCATACATATTTTTGCCTCCATCAGTTGTTATAGATTTCAAATTTCTCCATCAATGGTTCTTTTTATTAATGGCATTTTCAACTCCCTTAAAAATATCTACCCCAGTTGTCGTGCCGTGAATACTATCAATATCAAGAAGTTCTTCATACACTTCATAGCTTTTATCTACTCCGCGAAACAAAATCAACACCTGAGCAGTATCTGACACATCCGTTGTTTCAGATACTGCTCCAATGCTAGAGAAAACCACTCATGATGTCCATTTTTGTCAGACAGTTGAGATGATATATTTTCTGCGATGTCTTGCACCCTCCGAGCCATGGTGTTTGCTGACAAACTGACACTTTTAAATAAATTTACCTTTTCGAGGCATATTTCTTCGGCTACTGCAATCAAGCATTCTTTTATCATTTCTCCATCGGTGAATGGTTTGCCACGTTTTCCGATTTCAAGAGCCACACGAAAGCTGGCGCGAGTTGCAGACTCTTGTTCAGTATTCGCTTCGGTAAAAAAAGATTGCTGCGATTTGAGTCTGCGTTTCAAAGCTTCAAATTTTTCCTTCCACAAACTTCCTGTATACTTGGAGTAACTTTGAAGATGTTTCAATTCATAGTGTCGTTTAATGTTATAGTCTTTGAGAACAGCTATGGTTTCATTACAAATTAAACATAGCGCCTTATTACTGGACTCAATCACAAAATACTGAAAGTTCCATATTTCTTGGAACGTTCTGAATTCACTGTAGATTTTTCGCTTCTTTTCCATACTAACAAATCACACATAAAAACAATAAGTCAAATCAAAATACTTTTATTGACGTGTGTTACTTTATTTCACAATAGACAGTTTCGCTTCCTTCGCCTTTCCTACGCAGACTAACTCGCAGTTGCGCCGCTAACCTTTTTATATGCAATTATTACTGCCATCTCGAGGTGATCGGAATACACTAGCTAGAACCAGAACTTTCTCGAACCAACGCGGTAATTACAAATATTTAATTACGCCTAATGCCACCTAGCGAGTAGCTGAAAAAGATAGTACATAGTACCACTACTCGCCACTAGATGTCGTTGAGTGTCACAATACACAATAATAATTGAAATGCAAAAAAGCGTAAGTTTGCTTAGGTCACGCACTTTGCGACTATCCTAGTCTAGAAATATAGTTAAGAGCAGAAATTGGCCCTTGGAACAAACTGAAAAAATCATTATGGCCCGATGACTTCAAAGTTTGGAGACCCCTGATCTAAAGGAACAGTTCGTTCAGGATAGTCTCAATTCCTACACTGTAGGTTAATGGACCGACACTTATCAGAAAACAACTACTTTCTTGGCTAATACCACGAATGGCGTTGGATTATATCCGACAGGTATCAGTGCAGGATTCTTCACTGAAGTTACTCCTGCATATGCTCTTGGCAAAACAACTGCCGCAATAGATTTTCAATTATTGGAACACACTTGCAGACCGACAGGAATCATTTCAGTGAAGAATCCTGCACTGACACCCTTCGTGGTATTAGCCAGAGGAGTAGTTGTTTTTGATAGTTGTCAGTCCATTAACCTACAGTGTAGGGAGTTGAAACTGGCCTGAACAAATTGTTCCTTTAGATGATTTGATTTATAGACAGTCTTCAAGTATGCCCACTGACTATATATGAAAAGTTTTCTTTCCTTACACGAGAAATTGGTCAAATTTCGGGTATGCGGTTGGTTGTCCCGTTCACAGGCAGATGGGGCGATGACAAACCTGTTGTTTGTTGTCTGCTTCAGCCTAGTTCAAAGAATGATACTCTGAAGGAATTCAATTATCGGAAATCATCGACTTTATGTTGATGATAGGCACTACCTTGCACTGACGAGTGACCAAACAGCCCGAAACCGATTGAAAATCTATTGTGGCGGTTGTATCGCCAACAGCATATGCAGGAATAACTTCAGTGAAGAATCCTGCACTGACACTTGTCGGATATAATTCAACGCCCTTCGCGGTATTAGCCAGGGGAGTAGTTGTTTTCTGATAGGTGCCATAAACCTACTGTATAGGTAAGGGAAGACTGTCCTGAACTAATTGTTCCTACAGATGATTTGCAAAACATTATTTTTCGACTACAAAATCATATCCCTCACGAAAGAAAATTATTGGTAAGGTAGACGATTTTGATTCAAACGGTATTGAAAGGAAAGTACATCTTATTTTTCTGAAATAAATGCCAATAATAGATTCAGTTCTTAAAGTTGTAAACGATAATTCTGATCTACCAAATTTCAAAAGGTTGACATTCCACAAGTTTTGTTGAAGATGTCCACAGTCAAAAATCGGCGTGTCCGAACAATTCTTTGTCGCAGATCTAGATTTGTAGAATTTATGTAATTAGTAGTAAACGTTTTGAAATGGACGACACTATTAGTTTTTCTGTACTGGTAGTTTTTGTTGAATCCAGCCGCAGAACAAAAAGTAGATAGTTGGCCACTGTCACTTCTTCACAAATTATTATTCTGTCATCCTTGTTCACTGTGTTCCAACATGGTTTATTCTACTGAAGAAAGAATAGAAATTTTTGCAAGCAACCTATTATGGAAATAATGAATGCGCTAAAGCTGCTGCAAGATTTATAATACGAATCATCCAGACCACAACGTGAGTCATCAATACGTTAAACAGTTAATGGATAAGTTTAGATCATCAGGTTCTGTTCACAACAGAAAACATGAAGTATCCCATCCTGTCAGAAATGACGGAGTTGAAGTTGCAGTTTTAGGACGTGCAAATGGATAATCGACAATCTATCAAACAAGTAGCTAGAGTGGTTAGTGTATCAGCTACTAGTGTTTTTTCGATTTTGAAAACATGCAAATTCCATCGTCGACTTCAGTATTGTGAGGTGTTCAGTGGGAAATTCACCAATAACCCAAACCTATTATAGAATACATGTTTTTCAGACAAAAGCTCTTTCATGTTGAATGGTGAAGTGAATAGACGTAATTGTAGTTACTGGAGCTATGTGAATCCTCATTTGGTGATGGAAACACATTCCCAAACTCAACAAAAATTGAGCCGGCATTCTTGGTAACCATTTTGTTGGACCACTCTTCATTGAAGGTAATTTCAATGGAGACACATAGGATCTACACAAGACTGCGTAGATCCTACGATTACACAAATTTTTGAAAATGATGACAATTTAGTAGAAAATGAAATAACATTTCAGCAGGATGGTGCACGCCCCCATTTTGATGTTCGGGAGAGAGTTGTTGGACGAACGTTTTCCTATGCGTTGGATTCGCAGAACAGGTCCAGTGGAGTGGCCAGCTAGATCACCTGATCTCACACCGATAGACTTTTTTCTGTGGTGACCCCTGGAGTTGAAAGTGTACTCTACTAAGCCTGCGAATCTAGAAGACCTGCGACAGAGAATTGTTCGAGACTGCCGATTCCTAACATCTCGAGTAATGTACAGAACGCTTTCGAGAGTAGACTGTATTATTGTATGCAACTAGGTGGAGGTCATTTTGAACAATTTATCCGTTGATTCTATTTCCACTGATATTATTTGTTGTTGATTTCCTCATTGAAATGAACGACAGCGAATTTTTCTCAAATAAAACGTTCCAACATTCAATTTCTCAATAACGAATGAACCAATTTAAAAAAAAATGACAGAGAAACAAAAGACCTTTCAAATGATGTATCACTCAACCCCCCATGCCATTGAAAAAATTGGGGGGGGGGCGATAGTTGCTGACCGCAGGAGTGTGAATTTCGGATATGATTTTCGATTACACGTACGTTTCTGACTTACAGGAGGAAGCGTGTTTTTTAGTTTTTTTAAACTATATTTATTTCAACTTTCTAGTTCGATGCTTTGAAAGCGTGTTTTTTAAACTATATTCATTATTTAGATTTTCTTTTGAACAACCTATCAAGGAGGTTAAGTACAGCGCCATCTGCGCGCGAATAGATCAAGAAATATCAAGGAGGTTGCGTAGAGCGCCATCTGCCCGCGAATAGTTCAAAAATTCAATGAAGTTACGTATAGCGCCATCTGCCCGCGAATAGATCAAGAAATATCAAGGAGGTTGCGTATAGCGCCATCTGCCCGCGAATAGATCAAGCACTAATGCCGATAATTCTGTCAATGCAGATACCGAGCTTGAGAGTTACAAGCAAACATGCATACAAACAATCTTACATACATACAGATGAAGCTAATATAAAGTGTGTAAAAACATCTGTTTTTCCATTAACCAACTGTCGCACCCCTACAAACGACAACCCTCAGAAGCCGAGACTTGTGCGAGCTGAGGATTAACGAGGTCTTACCTTCTAACGTGTGACTCCTAACACGGAATGTTGTTGAACATTCTCTTCTGAACTCAATACTTTACTCCAAGTCTGTTGCGACACCAAATTAGGAAATTAAAGAAAAATCGTAACAAATTTTATATTAAAAATATTCAATATATTATGTAAGTATAATAACAAACTTAGGCATCATAAGTAGAAGCCGAAACATTTCCTCCTTTGCCAGTCCAATTTGTGTGTACAAATTTACCTTCCTGTCCAAGAAGCTCGTAAGTGTGAGCACCAAAATAGTCTCTCTGCGCTTGTAATAAATTTGCAGGGAGGTGTTCAGAACGATAACCATCGTAGAATGCCAGAGCAGTTCCGAGAGCTGGAGTTGGAATACCTAGAAGAAATTTGTCAACATTGAAAGCATAACTGGATTTTACATCTAATAACTTATCGATGAAGGTATCAACAGGAGAAATATTCAACACTTACCTAGCTTGACAGCTGTTGATACTACATTTCTCCAGCCTGTCTGCGCTTTTGATATGGCTTCCACAAAGAAAGGATCGAGGAGTAATGACTTCAAGGAAGAGTCCTTGTCGAATGCCTTCTTGATTTCCCCCAAGAAAACCGATCTGATGATACATCCACCCCTCCACATAAGGGCAATTGCTCCGTAATCCAGGTCCCAGTTATGTACATTCGCGGCTTCACGCAAAAGCATAAACCCCTATAACAAATAACACGCCACTTGAAAAAATGTTGTCTAATCAAAACCAATATCTGACATGCAACATAGAAATGGCTTTGTCAGATTCGACACATCCAAGAACCTACAGTAAGCGCCAAACGTGATGGCGAGACCGCCCTCATGTGCACAAACTCATTTTCAATGTAACCCCCACTATAGCTCTTGCAAGACATACAAATGCTCTGTACAGAAGTGTATCATTACTTGTCCTCCAATGCTGTTGGCGTTTAGCATTGTCTGAATAATTTGTCACGTATAGTCAGTGGGCATTACTTTGCAGCAGTTGTATCACCAACAGCATATGCAGGAATAACTTCAGTGAAGAATCCTGCACTGACACCTGTCGGATATAACCCAACGCCCTTCGTGGTATTAGCCAGGGGTAGTTTTTTAAACTATATTTATTATTACACGCTTTATATTAGCTTCACCTGTATGTATGTATGTTTGTTTGTATGCATGTTTGTTTGTAACTCTCAAGCTCAGGATCTGTCTAGACAGAATTATCGGCATTATTGCTTGATCTATTCGCAGGCAGATGGCGCTGTACGAATGTGAAATCCTTCTCAAATAAAGTTTGAGGTCTTAAATTCTATAGTAACACTGAGATTCAAGTAGTATAGTAAGTCTCCAACAGAGGGCGGAAGTTGTAAAATTTGTTTCGAAGTAAAGAGATAATTTACAGTAATAATTTCAAAAAACAATCCAGTCTTGATGTTTTGATTTGAAGTTTTATTCAAAATATTAATGGACTAAAAATATTTTTTCAGTGAATAATTTTATTTTTCAAATCAATCTTTCGATTTAATATGTATGTCAAGAACCTTGATTTTAATTTTTCGATTTTTTGAAATATTTGAGTAACTGAATTTTTTAGGTGTACAATTTACGATAAAGTTTTCATTGTTGAAATCCATGTTCTGGTTTGCTTGCAAATAATCGAATTAGATTTTAAAAAGGATCCGTTTCGTTCAAAACTTTTTTTGTACTGAATCACGGGTAATTGTAAATATTTAAATATTTCATCTGTAGTACAAAATTTCGCCAACACTTATAATTCTTAAAATTTGCTTTTTATTTTGATTTTCTTTTGAACAAACTATCAAGGAGGTTACGTATGCGGCATCTGCCCGCGAATAGCTCAAGCAATAATTGATAGTTACGTACAGCGCCATCTGCCCGCGAATAGATCAAGAAATATCAATGAGTTTACGTACAGCGCCATCTGCCCGCGTATAGATCAAGCAATAATGCCGATAATTCTGTCAAAACAGATCCCGAGCTTGAGAGTTACAAACGAACAAACATACATACAGGTGAAGCTAATATAAAGCGTGTAAAAATCAGTCATCAAGATTCAGGCACGTGAAATAATTTTTAAAGTGTTCAATTATTTTCAAAGTGTTAAATGTGAGTCGGACACGTTATCAAATGTGAAAAATAAAACATCTCTCGCTATAGGTAACAATAAATATTTTAAAAAATGAACTACTTCAACACAAATCTTTATTTTGTATTAGTTACTTCAATAAGAACTATTGAAAGAGTGGTTAAAGAAGGGAAGCAATTAATTTCTGCAATTAAGAGAAGTAAAATTTTCCACTTCAAGAAAGAAGCGGCCTAGAAGAGCACCAGTAACTGATATTCTCGAGTACGAGTATTCCAATATTAGACGAATTTATTACGACTTTCATAAGACGGAAGGTTACTGAATTAAGGTAAAAAAGTTCCAACACAAAATTAATGACGTTTTGGGATTTATGACTTCCGAAACACCTCTTTGTAGAATTAAAAATAAAGGGTTTCAAATGGAGAGGGACAGAAAATAATAGAAAAATTTTAATAGAGAAAATGGACATCAGAGCAATGGGGATCAAGTATTTACAAGTATCAATTATTTTCGTAACCAACAGTGATCAATTGTGTTTTTTGATACCTTCATAGTGAATATACCAAATGAATCAACCAAAGGGTTACTTAAAAATATTGCGAAGGGACCATGACTCATTATTGTCCATAGAGGAGGTGACATGGGTTTTATACCTACTTGTCGGCTCATATTTAAATCAGGCACAACAAACATCAGGGAATTATTCAAAAATGAATTCTGAGAATTATGGTAAATGCTTACAGGAAGAGTTAATCCCAAATTTACCTGTGAATTCGGTATTCATGACTGATAATGCTCCATACCATAATATTCAAATTAATTCAGCCCCTAAAACCAATTCTAGAAAGGCCGACATGGTGAAGTGGTTGCATGAAAAGAGCATTACGTTCAGCCCTAACATGCTCAAACCCGAATTATATGAGTTGATCAAGGTAAATAAAAAGCATCATATTACATACAAATTTGATGAGGTTCTGCTTGAACACGGACATAACTTTTTGCGACTTCCTCCTTACCATCCAGATTTGAATCCCATTGAACTCGTTTGGACTACTGTCAAAAATAACTTGTCCCAAAAGACTGTAACTTTCATGTTGGAAGATGTGAGAAAACTGGCAAAGCACGAGTTTGATCAAATCACTTCTGAGGAATGTCAAAAGAGTTGCCGACATATAGTAGATATAGAGCGGAAATATTGAGAAAATGAAACATTCACAGAGGTTCAAACAGAGGTGAATCCAGTGATTATAGATTTAAATAACGATAGCAGCACAAGCACAAACAGCGGTGAAGATGAAGAAAATTTGTATTCAGATAGTGACTTTGGGAAACTCAAATTAAATCTCTGATTTCGGCGATTTTTTGAGAATTAGTTTATTAGATATTTGGAATAGAAACTTTTCAAAAGAAGCTGTGAATTGACTGACCTGTGCATATGACACTATTTTAGCAGCATAAAGGGCCTGCTTGAGATCATCAAGGAATTTTGTTTTGTCATCGGAAAAGTTTGGTGTTGGTCCAGGAAGAATTTTGCTTGAAATCTGACGTTCGCTCTTGAGTGCCGAAAGACAACGGCTGAACACAGCTTCACCTATTAGGGTAACCGGTATTCCGTAGTTGAGAGCTGCAATGGCTGTCCATTTACCAGTACCTTTTTGACCAGCAGTGTCACGAATCTTCGGAAGTAGGTATTTTCCTGAAAACAAAATTTATTTTCATTAAAACTATATCACAAAGGAACACTTGTCATGAAAGACTACACGAAAGGCAGTCAATCATACTGATATCGAAGAGAGATAGGCCAAATTATTCAGCTTCTATTTCATGACTCTTTCTATCACGCAGTATCATGACAATTCAATTCAATTCTTTATTTATCCATTCAAGTAAATACAGCTATAGGACAAGTCAAAAAACATATAGACATACAACAAAGTACAGTGAGTGTAATGATAAAATAAAATAAATTATGTACATGCATAACAAGGATTGCAGACAAAATACAATTAACATAGGATAGTGAAATAATACATGTTTACAGGTTGTTCTTTAAAAAAAATCCAACTCTCCTTTATTCCATTCACCAAATGTTTTGGCCATTTCTTCTTGGCTTATTCCAATAGCTAACATTAAATGGTAAACTTCACCAATCAACTGCATATCTCCATATTCAATACCGTTATGCACCATCTTGACAAAGTGACCAGCACCATCATTTCCAACCCAATCACAGCAAGGCTGGCCATCAGCCTTGGCTGATATGCTCTGGAAGATATCTTTAATGTAAGGCCAGGCTGCCTTGTTACCACCCGGCATAAGACTGGGACCATAACGAGCACCTTCTTCACCACCTGAAAGTTGAAAAAGTTTCTTAGATAGTTCCTCCCCCTTAAACATACTACTAGTCATCAATAATAAAATTTAATTTGTTGTTGTAGTAGCTTGTAGTATGTCAGCGGACAGACTCCTGAGGAAATAATTTCGAAAATCAGAAATGTCATTGAACAGTTCTCCCGATGGTGTTTGGCTAATCACCTATTGGTAAACATTTCAAAAACAAAAATAATGGAGTTCACAAAAAGACGAGTTGACACAATGGATGTGATGGAATTTGATGGTTATACTGTTAAATGTAGCCAACAAACTCTATTTTTAGGAACTGTTTTAGATTCAAACATTCAATGGAATGAACAAATTAACACAGTCTGTGGCAAGCTCAATAAATCATTTTATGCTATCCATGCCTTGAAAGACACTCTTGACAGACATTCACTCATGAGTGTTTACTTTGGCATGGTGTATTCTACACTTAGCTACAATATTATCTCTTGGGGTCAAGCCAACGAATGGGTGTGTGCTTTCAGGCAACAAAAGAGAATAATAAGATTAATATTCGACTTAGATTTTGGTGAGTCTTGTAGAGGAACTTTTAAAAGAAATAAAATTCTGACTACCACTTGCATTTACCTATTTAAAATACTTATATTCGTACATAATAACAAAACAAAGCTTACATCAAATCTATACATCAGTATAGAACACGAAACAATCATCACTTATATCAATCAAAACTCAATCACACTTACTACAAAAAATCCCCAGAATGGGCGGATGTTTACCTCTATAATTTATTGCCAAATCACCTAATGCAACTTTCACCAAAAAAATTCAAGGTGGAATTGAAAGAATAGATGTTTTTATGATCTGAATGAGTATCTGAACCATACATGAAAATTGATGAGTCTAATCTTTTAATATGATGTAACAATGTATGTTGTCTCTTGTGATATTTGCGTGATACAATTTTTATTTACTGTACAATATTTCTTATTCTATGTGACGAACCTATACATTGTACAAATGGCACAAAAAGGTAATATATTATCTATCTATCTATCTATCTATCTATCTATCTATCTATCTATGTTGCAGTAACTTGACTGGTTAGGTTAGGTTTGATTAGGTTAGGTAAACCTATCTAAGTTAGTTGTGATGCACTATTTGGAACCTTTGGTGTAGTAATGACTATTACTGGAGTTTTTTCCCAACACAAAACCGTTATTTCAACACCTCGACACGTGTTTTGATCACCACGTGATCATCTTCATATTCGTTTGACATTTTCTAACTAAATTAGGTTAAAAAAAAAAAAAAAAAAGTAACAATAGAAAAACAAAAATACAACATGAAAATAAAATAGAAAATTATGCAAATAAAAAAACATATTACAGGGAAAGATAAAAAAGTTGTAATGGGCTTACTCTACATTGACAAACCTACGTAAACCGATTTAGGAGCGCCCTTATAAATTTTTTATGTCTGCTAGGATCAATGTTGGATTTTGATGTTTCAGAAGAAGTACTGATTTGATTTCCACAACATAGGCTACATACATCTTAAGATTCCACAATCAATGCTAGTCATAAATTGATAAGTGGAAAATATGAATACATAGGTTAGGTACAAAGTGAGAGGGTCTATTAGATCTCCACCGCAACCCGCAAGGGTTTACACCATCTAATGAATGATTTAGTTGATAGAAATCCGTCGATAATTATTTATTTATGGCAATGCCTGTTTTTTACAAGATAATTAACAAGTTCACACATATGTATTTAACAGTAATATAAGCTAGGTTTAAGGAAAAAATATATAAAATAAAATAAAAAAATCGTAAAACTAATGAATTACAATATTTTCATAGTGTTTTTAAAGTTGTCAAAGAAGAATAAAAAAATTCTAAATCTACATTGTATGTATTTGCAATTCTCAAAATTCTACCTACAGATTCATTCCGGCCATAGTTGGTGCGACAAAAGGGTACTTTTGTACCCTTTTGTACTCCTTGGATCCACATTTAAAGTTATAAGTTCGACAAGTTCCGGGGAATTGATGCTACCATTGATTATTTTATGAATTAGTGTAAGGTCTGCTTCTAATCTTCTATGAGCCAGCGTATTCAAGTTAAGAATGTCCAATATAATTTTATAGTCATATTCTCCAATATGATATCTCAGTTTATATGCAGAGTACCTTAAAAACTTATTTTGAACACTTTCGAACATATCAATATCCACATGATATGAAGGGCACCAAATTGTGGAATTTTATTCGATTATTGGTCTAACAATTGAACAATATATGATCTTTATTGAAGTGAGAGATAATTCATTTGCAGATCTAAGAATGAAACCCAACATTTTTTGTGCTTTAGAAGTAATATTTGCAATATGGGGTTTAAATGACATTTTTAGGTCGAGAGTGATTCCTAAATCTCTTATTGTGTTTGTTGTTTTCAGTTCTGATTGATTGATTTTGTATGGCCAGTTAATGGGATTTTTGTTTCGGAAAAAAGTTAATTTTTGACATTGGTCTATATTCAATTGCAGTAGATTTATATCACATCAGCGAACAAAGTTAGATAAATCGTACTATAATAATTCTGTATCATTTGAGTCATGAATAACTTTAAACATCTTCAGGTCATCAGCAAACAAAAGAAATTCACTATAAAGAATAACATCTTTCAAGTCATTTACAAATAAGTTGAAAAGCAATGGCCCTAAATGAGAACCCTGTGGTACACCCGATGAAACTGTGGTTGAGGAAGATACTGAGTTACCATATTTTACATCTGTAGGTTAGACAATTTTCAATTCATTTCAGAATGTTTTCTTGAATACCCAAAGTGTTTACTTTATGCAAATTGTGGTTTACTTGGTTAAATGCCTTTGAAAAATCTGTGTAAATAGAATCCACTTGGTGTCTATTTTCGAAGCCGTTCATTATACAGTGTTGATAAATTAGCAGATTGTGCTGGTAGATCTACCACTACTGAATCCATGTTGTTGATTGATGATTATATGTCTACAATCCCATGTTAGCTTTTTTGTAATTAGGCTGTCTAACAATTTGGGTAATTCTGATTTATTATAGACTGCTCGATAATATTTTATATCATTATGTGATCCACCTTTATAATCAGGTTTCAAAAAACTTGTTTTTCCAATAATCTGGAAAGATGGACGATTTCAAGGAAATATTGGATATCATGTTAATTGGTTTGATCAGGGTAAAAATACATTTTATGATTAGAAATAGCGTAATTCCATCAGGACCTGTAGATAATTTCCCAGGTAATGACATGACTAGATCGATTATTTCTTCAATATCAACGCTATAACTACATATATCAACCGTCTCACTAAATTTATATTCTGGAATTTGGTTAACTGTTTCATCACTGTAGACTGATGAGAAATATTCTGCAAAAAGATTCGCAATATCATCACTATTTTCACTGACTGAGTCATCATAATACATTTAAGATGGTAAGGAGTGTGATTTTTTTTACTATTAATATAATTCCAGAAGCTTCTATGATTATTGTTGATGTTATTCTCTATTTTATTTATGTATGCTCGATGGCAAGTGTTTCTCAAAGTTTTGCACTCATCTCTCAAATAACAAAATTCTTCATATTTATGAAAATTTCCATTTTTGTATTCACTGTGAACCGATTTCTTTTTCAGCTCAGAATTGAACCATATTGGTAAAGTAGAAGCTTCATATTTTTTGAGTGGAACAAAGTACTCCAGAGCTATACAGAGAATATTGTAAAAATTTGTAACTACAATATTTAAATCCTCATCCTTCAGTATTTCGGTATCCCAGTTGATACTTGCCAAAAAATCATTCATGCCCATATAATCTCCATTTACAAAGTCATAAAAGTATTAATCATATTTTAAATATTCCTTTGTATCATTTTTTGAATCAAAACATACCGAAGAATGATGTAATGTATTTTGAAAAATTGGGTCCGATGGATTCTGAACACATATTTATGAATGATGAAAAAATTAAATCTAAGTAAACTTTTCTTGAATTTGGAATATTATTGATTTGATATTAATGATGGAAACTAAATGAATGTAATAAAGCTAGTGCAGGTGAGTTTTCTGGATAATCAACATTCAGACCAAGCTCCCAATGAAACCAAAATGCGTCGGGTATATTATAGTCAACACAAAGGATAATCTTGCTAGTACAGTATTTTACTAAAATATAATCAACAGTATATATAATCAGCAGTATGTTCCATATAAATATTCACTACAGAAGAAGGAGGAATATATATACACCACCGATAATGATTGTTGAAGCACCTATTGATAATTTAACATACAGATGTTCTATATTGTCAGGAGATATGTCGATTAACTTAGTTATTAAAGATTCTCTAATGGCTATTAGTATTCCTCCTTCTCTTTTTTTATCGCTATTTGTTTGGTCTCTATCTATATGTCTCTATCTATATGTTAAAACCTTTCAAACCCAGTTCACTATCGGAAAAGTCTCTATTAAACCATGTTTCTACTAAAGTTATAATATCATAGTTTGAACACATAACACTTTGTTGAAATTCTAATATTTTTGTTCTCTGGCCCCGACATTTTGAAAATACACAGAAAACTGATTGGGTTTTACTTTTTTGCAGCCGCTTCAGTGATTTGAGGTACTCCATTCACAAAACTTATTGTAACATTTTCTCCCCTTTGCTTTTTATCATCGACTTCTTTCTTCATTTTTTGCCAGTTTTTTACTTGTAGTTGAGTTAGATCAGCACTAATGAATTTTTTTTTCCTTGAGTGCATCTCTTTTTTCTTTTGATTTAATTAACTTGTTTGCATCTTCTACACTGGTGAAAATAACTTTTATCCTTCTGTCCAACTCTGAATATCTGTTTAATATGTAAATCCTCATGAGTTACTTCTTTAACTATTTCCTTAACAGTATTCAAGTCTGAGTTGTAAGAATTACCTTCTGCTAGATTGAATATCATAACATTGTTCATTCTTTTTGGTCTCTCGTATATTTCATTTATGACTGTTTCTTCGGAAAAAGATGTACGTACATGTTTCTTTTTGAATTTTTGATTTCAGTTCTTCAACCTCAGAAAGCAACTCATCAATATTCTTGATTAAATTGGGTACTAATCTTACCCCTGTGAGACAATCATCACAATAAAACTTCAACAGCTGTTTTCCTTTTAAAGCCATGACCTTTAATTCAGATGCACTTAGATTCGAACATTCTGCATGTATTTTGCGTTCACAACCATCACAATTCAAGGGCAAGTCATTTCCGCATTAGCAAAAAGATTTACAATATCATTACTATTTTCGCTGGCAGAGTCATCATAATACATTTTAGATGGTGAGGAGTGTGGTTTTTTTTATTATTAATATAATTCCTGAAGCTTCTAGGATTATTGTTGATGTTATTCTATATTTTATTTATGCTTAATGACAAGTGTGGCGTAGTGCGTAAGGAGTTCTTCTCACATGGTCGTATGATCAATAAGGAGCATTTTCATGAAGTTATGCGCCACTTGCCAGAAGCAATACGATGAAAACGGTATTTTCACAAACTACACTTAAACGATTTGATCTCCACTAACTTTATTGAAAATAATCATAACATGTTTCGCTAAAACATTAGCTTTTTCAAATGATTAATCATTTGAAAAAGCTAATGTTTTATAAAACGGTATTGTAGAAAAACAATCATTGCTTATTAGTAATTTTTTGCCTAAAAATAACAACGTAATCTTGCCACAGCCACCATTTTCACCAGATTTGCTCGCCTGCAACTTTTTTCTGTTCCCAAGATTGAAGAGAACCATGAAAGAACGGCGTTTTGCGACTATTGAAAAAGTGCATATCAAAACACTGCTTTGAAGATTGGAAAAAACGGTGGCACAAGTATATTACATCTGAGAGGGAAGGTAACAAAACAGAAACAAATAAATGAATATGTTTTGTTGTCATTCACATCTTCTTTACTTTCTGTGAAAATCTTGTGTCTCGTGTAAATATTTTTCTGACTCAGAGTACAATCATTGTATGCCACTGTAAACATTTCAAGTGAACATATGTTTGAGACGATTGTGCCAACATGAAAAAAATCGCTAATTGAATGTATGTAGTCTGCGAAATTTGAACATTCATCAACAGACTTGTATGCATCTTTTCTTGATACAGTATTCGGACTCATTTCAATTTTTATTCAACCGATTGATTGGAATGATTGAAAAATTGAATCTAATCATTATCATGAAGAGAAAAAACGGATACTGCAAATCTAAATGTCACAGGATTTATAATTTATTAGATGAGTCATGAAAGAAAATCAGCTTTACTATCTGTCTACTTTTGCTATCACTCTTATCACTATAGTTAGCTTCGAAAATGACATCAAGTAGCTATGTCAGATGTATTTCAAGTTTGACTTGTAATAAAAATAACCTGTCAATTTTTTTTAGATATTCATTTATCCTCCACTCTTTTCACTTGGAAGGAGTGTCCCTTCCTCAAATTCTCTTTTATTATATTCATATGTTAGTTTTAAGATGAACTCTCAATATTACTACGAAAGCTTAAGTAATTCTATTGAAATAATAATGCTTGTTATTTTAAATTTTCTGTTTATAAGTAGTTCATTCACATACAAACCTGATACTCCCGCTCCAACAAAACGTATTCCCATTTTAGCCAAATTCTTCGTTCTCCGTTCGCTATCTTGGTACTCTGAATTGCCACCATCTATGATAATATCACCTTCCTCCAAATGAGGAACTAATTGGTTGATGAAACTATCAACTGCATCACCAGCTTTCACAAGTAACATAATACGTCGAGGGCTTTTGAGTTTCGATACCAAGTCTGGTATAGACTCTGCACCTATGATACTCTTTCCTTTTGCTTCATTTGCGAGAAAGTTGTGAACTTTTTCCACTGATCTATTGAAAGCTACTACAGTGAACCCATGATCAGCCATGTTAAGGATGAGGTTCTGGCCCATTACAGCCAAACCAATAAGGCCAATATCTCCGTTTCTGAGAAAAAAAATGTTTGTTCATTTTCCAAAAGTTCTCCTGTTCAGCAATATAAAGAAAAGGGTAAAAAATTATGATAATAATTGCACCATATCCCCCACTTCCTCATAAAATCGTATGAGGTATCAAGATGACCATGCAAAAATATATAGCAAATTGGGAATAATCAATCTCAACTTCAACACAAATTTGCGTGTTGTGGGTACACAAAATGTAATTAGAAAGGTCTTTAAAAACATTAAAATAAAACTTACTCAGACATCGCAACCTGTTGAATTATAGGTTATGTTTCAGCTATAACTAAGTTCTAGTATCGATAAGGAATGATGATTAAATGGAATGAATATTATTGCCTAATTGTAATCACTGAAGGTGATATGCTAAACTGTAATATGACTGATAAGAATAGCGAAAGTGGAAATCATGAAACTGAATACTTACATTGTTGCCATCGCTTACCGACTGACGTACCTACTAGTGGTCTTTGGTTTTTTACTGTGGTTTAGTTCTATGGAAATTAAGCACAAGAAGATATCCGGATCTTGTGGCATACTGGTCTTTTCTGAAGAATAGCTTGTTTTTATGTTTATATACAAACTTCATAGGGAAACAAGTCTGGCACAGTTGAATTATTTGATCGCTTAAAGGCCTCTCTACAAGACTACTCCCATTCCAGTCCTGCGACAATTCTCAGAGCAAATTTTTGCAGAACGAAAACACGCGACCAAGTGGTACATGTACCCCAATTTTTTCTTGATTTTTAAAAAGTAAGTCGACATATGGTTCTCATAACTAGATATTACTGATGAAAATTAATTGAGCAGTGGTGAGCATGAAACTTCTTGTTGACCTTTCTATAGGGAGCGTAAATAATCAAATCTTCTACAAAGTGCACTGACATGTTTCAAGTCAGAACTAAGACGGTTTCTGGCGAATTATGTGAGAAATTGCTAAAAATTCATTAAAAAAGGGAGTATCTCCTGAAAGTGGCAACACCGCATATCATTTGTATCTGAGTATCTTTCATGGTCTACATTTTCAAAGTCACATTGAATTTTTGGAGGTCAAGGAATTACTCCAATTATTCGATGACCATAGACAACCAAAGTAGATCAATAATTATAATTTCCTTTCACTTCTACAGACTAACTGACCATATCTTTTTTCCTTTGAGTTATACTCAAGTCTATTAGTATTTCAGTATGAAATTTTATTAAATCGTTTTTATTCAATGAAATCTCGAGCTTCCTGACATAAATCCTCTTGACTTTTTTCAGCGGGGCTAATTGAAAATTGGTTCAAATTTGTGAGCAACGCCAAGTTGATGTGAAAATCTTTCAAGAGAAAAGTCGTATAGTATCAGCTTAGTGTTGTCAAATAGGATATAATATTAATAAAAGTATAGCTGAGTTTGGTATTACAACAAGAATGTGAAGGCAATAAAATACAATACCTACAATAATAAAATCAGTAGGGAATAAAGATGGGAAATATTTGTGATGAAACAATTGAGTGAAAAAAAACAGATACAGGAATTATCTAAATATAGGATCAATTAATCTGTGAATAGCAGATCTATTCAGACTAAAGAGATAGCATCAAGTTTCTTTCTTAAATGTATATATATATAGTTGGCGCTTCTCTGGTTTCAAGGGGTAAAAAATTATAATGCCCATTCGCTAGATAAGTGGATGTATAGTATTTTCAATACCAATTGGAACAGCACAGAGAAGGAATTCCCGCCTCGACATAGGCGTCGCCATATTATTTTTCAGTGGTAGTTTTTCAGTTACTTATTCTTACAATCATATCAATTGATCACCCCTTGAAAATGTTATCTCAACTGGATTTTTCCACCATGGGTAATTATGAAAAACTTCGAAATTTAAGGTAGTTGAGATCCGAGTGGAAACTCTAAAATACAATGAAAACACAAATAATCACACCGAATTCTCGTCAAACATATATTTACAAAATAATAGATGCCAACAAAATTGCTAGAAAAATAAAAATTCTTTTTCGCTATATTCGGATGAGGTGGAATCATCATCGGGTTGAATAATGATCGGATTTATGGAACTTTGCACATAATATTTGTTCTCTTATTTTATAACGTGGGCCACACAGTTCTTCTACACATCACTATTACCTACTTCATTCACCGCTCGCCTTATATTATCAAGCACCACAGCATTCAAAGTCGGTGGCTGATTACATTTCCGCAAGCTTTCTTTCATTGTGGCCCAAACCATTTCAATTAGATTAAACACACAATAGTATGGAGGCAAACGTAAGAGAATATGACCACGTGTTTCACACATCGAATCAATAATATACTCTTTTTTGAAATTACGTTGTTTTATGGCGCCAGTACCTAATACCTTTTTTGTTGGAATCTTTTCGGGTATTTCCATGTCATGATTTCGCATGAAATCAACAATATCTGCTTTTTTTGTGTTATTGTTTGGTTTTGTAGTCAATAACCGAGAATGATACGAAGCGTTATCCATAGCAATAACCGACTTTGGAGGAATATTTGGGAGAAGCTGCTCACTGAACCAGGTTTCGAATGAAGCCGCAATCATATCTTCGTGGTAATCAGCAGACGAATCTTTTATATTTTTGACCGACAGAAGCAAAGCGTTAGGTACGAAACCACTTGCAAAATTATAACCCGCTTTCCTCTTGAAGGTATGTTCAAAGCACAATACTTGGTTTCGTCTTCCCAGCCATATTTGACCACATCATGGGTGTCAAACCAAGTTTCGTCGAGGTAAATTATATGTCTGCTGGATTCTCGGTAGCTTTTCATTCGCCTCAAATATTCTTGTCGGAGTTGAACAATGCGTGTCGATTCCATTATGACCATCCGATTGTTCAATTTTTTATATTTGATACTACAAGACAATAAGACAATAAGAGTTTCTAAAGATTTGTAATTGTAATCGGGATAGTCGAGTAATTTATACCAAATCATTTTCAAGGTTGGTACTTCATTTTTTTGGTATATACCATAAATTGTTCGCCGAATCACATCTCTTGTAGCACCATCAACGTTTGCGAATTTTTTATTCCTTTGTTTTTGTTTCATTGCATGGTAAATGACATCCCGTATTTTAATGACTCTAAGAACTGTCGAACGAGATAGTTTCGTTAACTCGCATATTCTATTCATAACAGTATTCTGTGAAGTGTGACAGTCTTCCTTCTTCAAGCATTCATGAATATTTAAAATTACTCGCTGAACTTGAACATGTAAGCCCTTATTTTCAAATTCCGGATCCCTGTCGATTGACACAGATTCCTCACACGTCATGTTATCATTTATTTCAAAAGGTCTCCAGAAAGCCATATTGATGAAAGTACCCAAAAACATTAAGAATTTCACGAAAAATCGGTTTAAACGATGAGATTGGAACCTTGGGTGTAAAAGTTGAAAACTTTTTGTAGAGATCAATTACCCTAACACCAAACTGATAGTTTTTCACTCGACGCGCGTTTCGCTAACAAGGTTAGCATCTTCAGGAGAAGCAAATTGATACTGAATCTAAAGACAAGGGTTAGCTGTTTATATACCTAAAGTTTTTTGGTCCGATGTGGACTTTGTTTGTTAAATGATGATTATCCTAATTGATTTTTCGGTAATTAACTAGTGGAACCACTACCTGCAAAGTAATTTGTCCGCTTTTTAATCTATTGTTGACAAATTAATTTGCAGGTAGTGGTTACACTAGTTAATTACCGAAAAATCAATTAGGATGATACATCATTTAACCAAAAAACATTTTCATGTTCAAATTCCATTATTTATCAAATTTTAGCCTTGGAAACATTTTTTTATGAGTGACAAGATACAAATACTTGATGAGATAAAATCATTCTTAAAAACAGTGCAAACCTCATAGGTACACATTTTTTAAATTTGAAAATTTGCCAACTAATAAAAGATAATAATCCAAAAGTCATAGTCGCTCCTTTCTTCAAAATATTGCTTTCTTTTCCGATTGGGTGTTTCTACTATTTTTTTAATTTGCGACAACTCTGATAAACACATATAAATAAATTATGCCGTGTCAAATACAGAGCCATTGTTTTAAAAATGATGTAAGTATTCAAATTTTCTTACGACATTTAAGCTCAGTTAATAGGAATTAGGAAAATGAATACTGTTTCTCATATAATTTATTCAATGAGCTAACAATGATATCATGAGAAACTTGATGTATTTGGCAATATCATTCGGAAATGGAGCACTTACACTTGTTCCACGTCAAATTTATTCAATGTTTTTTCTGCAACTGTTCCCAGGAGTGAACAATACACGCGAAAATATTTCCCAAGTACATATTCTCTTCAAAGAATGGTGTCTTGAGAAACGATTTTCTGCAGATAATTTTCGAACATGAACTGAATTAACAAAAATTTCAAACAACCCGGCATTCCATTCACGAATATATGTAAATTGAAGTCATATACAGCGTGACTCTCGGTCTATGGTAGGTCAGGCGTTCACGGTAAACGCAACGCAAGACTTTTCTGAAAATTTCACATCTTACATTTCCTTACCTGTTCTAACGATTTAAAATATTTTCAGCGTTGCAGCGTTGCGACTTCTATCAAAAAGTCCTGGCAACTTTAATTTTTTAAATAAAACACCCCGTATATTAACACATTTTTGGAGTCGCTCTTTTATTATAATATTTTTTTGTAAATAATTTCCTACACCTATGCCTGGGGAGCAGATGTTTGTCAATCCCAGAGAAGTGTGATATTCCCTTTTACCAAGAGGAGAAAATTGGACGATCTAACGACATTTTCCATGGTAAGGTCATTCCATTTGGAACGGAGGTGGAATATCTTGGCATTATCTTTGATAAAAAACTCACGTGGAACGCTCACTTGGAAAAAGTTTTACACAAAGCCAGACTGTCCCCAGACCCATCAGCTTACTGACAGGCATGGGGCGGATGTTGGACAGGCTTCTTAACGGTAGGGTTCAAGTCTGGTGTGAAAGGGAACTGAAATTCTCTCCAAACCAATATGGTTTTAGAGGAGGAATGGATACGGTAATGGCAGTAGAGAAAATGGCGAAAAAGATCAAAGAAAATAAGAGAGGAAGGAGACATTGGTTGTGACTGGTTGTGGCATTGGACCTGTCCAATGCCTTTAATACCACTTGGGCACCGGCGATTGAGAAATGCATGAGACGAATGGGTATGCCGGAAAATGTAGGGAGGACGTGCATGAGTTTCATAGGGGAGAGAACAGTCACCTGTGGAGCGGTCTCTGACAACGTAAACAGAGGCTGTCCACAGGGTTCAAGTCTGGGACCAACCCTATTACTGATTGTGATGGAGGTATGGTACCAGAAGCATGAAAGAGAGACAAGGCATAGGTACGATCGGGGTTCAAGTGCAGGCCTATGCGGATGACCAGCTGGTCATCATCGAGGGTAGTTCTGCAGATGACATTGAGAGGAAATGGAATCTGGTCTGGAATGAATGCAAAGCATGGGAGGAAGATATGTGGGTGGGATACAACGAAAGGAAGACAGAATGCATGTATATACAGACCAGACGGGATGAAAGAATCCCGGTCATAACAGTGAATGAGACAGAAATTGAGGTCAGAATGAATGTCAAATACCTGGGAATTGTGGTGGACTCTGGACTTTTGCTTGACCACCTCAAGGAGGTAAGAAAAAAGCTAAGTACATTGGCGGGGAAAATGAGGAGATGGACCGGGAGGAATATTGGAATGAAGAGAGAGTGTGTTAGAATAAGTTATGAAAGGGTAGCCAAACCTGCAGCTATGTATGGGGTGCAAGTGTGGGGGAGTAGAGTGCATGATAGTAGAGTCAGGAGACAGCTGAGCGCGGCCCAGAGGCCTCAGTGTGATCACGGGAATAGCCCCCCTTCATATAGAAGCTGGGGCTAGATACCATGAGTGGAGAATGAATGGGGAAAGGAAGACTCAGGATAGATTGAAAGGGATAGATAAGATACTTCCCTGGATGTAAGGGGGTTTACTGGAGGAGACGCAGGACGAAGGGATGGACGAGGTATATGTGGATGCCGGAGCGAGGATGGACGAGGAAAGAATGGGTATTGGATGGGCTCACGAAAGGAATGTAGATAAATGGGCTCTAGGGAACGAGAGCGGAACTGATTGCGATAGAGAAGGTGATAGAAATGTGGGGTATGAATGAGAATGTAAGGGTGATCAGTGATTCCGCAATTGCGGTGGAAAGGATGAAAGTGGTACGTGTGAGGAATAAAATGTGGCTAGAATACAGAGAATGATTGAGGAGAGGTAGAGGATAAAGGAATGGATTAAGGAAGAATGGCAGCGAGAATATGGGACAACAGTATGACTGGGCGACTGTAGAACAGTCGGGTATGAGTCACTGGATCTGTCGAGGAAGGCAGCCCAGCTGTTCACGGGGCACGGTAACTTCCCGGTTTAACCTGGTTTAACCTCCCGCGCCGGTTTAAAATGGCGCGGGAGGTGCCGTGCCCATGTGGATGGGGGGAGCCTGAAACGGCAGAACATGTGATAGAGAGATGTATGGATGGCGATTGAACTGGGTGGCACGAATGGAAAGAATGGCTGGAACACGAGAAGGAAGGAATGCAGATGAGAGACAGGAATGGAAGGATAAGTGAATGGATACGTGTGGCGAATGAGTGGGCAGAGAGTGTCGTGAGAGATTAGAGGGACGGATGAGAGGCAAGCTACCAATGATGCTGCTGAAGAAACGACGATCTTCCCAATCTAGACAACCCATGGAATAGACGCTATCTGACTTATGAAACTCTTACAGTCTGAAAATGAATTGTCAAACAGAGAGTACAGACTTCTTTTGGGCTGAAATAATTATGAAAAATTAATTTATTACCTCAGAGAGAATCATTTAGTTAAGTTTAATTAGTTATGTAATACCTTAGAGAGAAACATATAGTTGAGTATAATTATTTAAGTTCAATTTATTGTTTTTTTGTGTTGTAAATTTGGTTTGTTATTCAATAAAGTTATGGGTCTTTGACCCTCGGTGATTTGGACGAGCACGAGTCCTCTGGCAGTGGAGATGTTAGGATAGAGGGAAGATGCTTAGCTGAAAGGCTTTCGAGCCAGGGCAGCACAGGGCAATGGCATTATTCATGTCCCTATGGATATGTCGAAGGATTTGTGATAAAAATGTGATGATTGTCAAACCAATGATTACTTATGATGTAATTGCCTGGTGGCCGAAAGATTTACAGAAAACGGCCCAGGCGAAGCTCTTTGTCTTACAGAGTCAGGCTTGTCTAGCCATCAGTGGTGCCATCAGTACCACACCGTCAGCGGCCGTGGAGATCCTTCTAGATCTACCTCCTATCCACATTTTTCTGGAGAGATAGACTAGGTTGACTGCATATAGACTTTTGTACATCGCCAATTGCGCAAATCAATCTTATGCAGAGTATATAAGACTGCTGGTTGACACCGGAAGTCACAGCAATCTGGAAATTACCTTTGACTTTATGCCTCCAACTGTCAACTACGAAGTGCCTTATAAAGTAATGTTCCGGGAGAAGGAATTATTAAGAGCAGATAAAATTGTTCCAATCTCAATAACTTCAAATCATACTGGATGGTTATCATAAAACAAGCCTTCAGATGAAGAGTTATTATGAAATTTGAACGTTCACAATAATTCAGGATTGGATTGATTTTTTAACCAATTCTAAACGTCACACCTTGTAATCATAAATTATTCTTATTGATCAGCTTTTTGGTCCTATCAGGATTAGGGATTAAAAGAAACTTTGATAGTCGAATATCAGACAAATAACGAAGTAATGAAGTATATTGAACTTTCTTCCATTCAGAAATGATTCTATCGAATTTAATTATTCCAATGAAATTAATAAATATCATTCAAACGTTCACAACATCTTCATTTTACTGGACTCTTTTTATTGTTCTTCGGAATTGCCTTCTCCCAAAATTTCGACATTTCTAACTGGATTTTTTTTGAATGTTGTCGATTTAGCAATTGAGTCATAATCTTTTTCCGGTAATGGTAGAGAGGGATTGATTGCTAGCTGCAACATCCTCAGTAAAAGCATTTCCCTTACATCTGAGGGCAGGTATTCTTCATGCTTCTCCGAATGATGAAAACTACTTGGTGGTAATAATCTAGCTACTCTTCTATTTGGTTTGTAGGATTGTTGGCGTTGTTCCGAATACACTTCATTGGATGGATAGTTTCTAAAAGTATTTAGTTGTTGAAAACCAATTTCCACCACGTTTTGTCTATGATTGCGATCTTGCTCTTGGAAAGTTGGAGTATTTGAGCTGCTCAAAAGTTCTCTCTGCAAAAAATAAGGATCTACTGCTCGCATTACTGGTCGAGGCTGCATATATATGTCGACATGTCGAGTCATCTCGCTTATTTTTTCTAGTCTGTTCTGCCTGATGATGAGTTGCTGCAGGAGCCTATGAAAATCTTTAGTACTAACGGGTGGGTGTATATCATCTATATTGTTTTCGTCATATTTGGGTTCAGGCTCAGCCGCTACCTGATAGACTATTTGACTTGGTCTTAAAAGTTCTTTAATATAACCATTTTCATCCACTTCCACTGGCATTGGCCTTAATATTCGTGTAGGTGGAATTTTCACTGGAGCTTCTTCCTGGTTAAATTCCTCAACAGGTTTTCTTGTTGATGGAGGTATATTATATTGTCCCGATTTAGGTGGACCATAAAGTTCATCCAACTGTTCTCTAGTTAACAGTCTTCCATTAAATTTACTAACTGGAAGCAAAACTGTTCCTCTTTCATTCGCCGACTTTATATCCAGTAGTTGTATTCGATTGTCTACTTTGTCATTAGAAACCCTCAATTGAGGAATGGGAGGAGTAAAATTATTCCCTTCAGAATGAATTGTTGTTGCTCTTTGGCTATAACGTGAAGAACTGTCAAAATCATTCACGGGATCATCAAACACTGAAGGCCGTTGTATAGTTGAAGGAGTCGATGTTGTAGATGTTTGTGTGAATTTAGGTCTGTTAGTGGTTGTGAACAAAGGTCTTGGAGTTCCTGTAGTCATGGAGTTACTATAAACGTCTGTTGCATCTTGCCCGAGAGACTGTTGTAACCTTGAAATATGGTCGTGAGCATTATAATCTTGTTCGCTTTGAGATGAAAGCTGTCTTCGTTGTAAATTACCCACTGGTTCGTAAGAATTAACTAGTCTGTCTTGATAATAATGAAACAGTTTATCTGGTTTCTCAGTTTCCTGGATTCCTCCTCTATTAGTTTTCTGATGATTCAGGTTTGATGCATCTGTTTGAGAGAGTGAAGAAACATAGTTTGGTACCGTTGTTGATTGGGAAATGTTTACTACGTTCTCATAATTTGGTTTCTTAGTAGTAGCCTCACTCATTGTTTTTCTCCTCGGTATACTCTGAACAACGCTACTGCTACTTGGTATCAAGGGGGTGGAAGAGACGAACTTTGTCATTTGTTTTCTGAGTGGAATTCTCTGTACTACTGAAGGTTCCTCTGGTTTACTAATAACTTCGCTAGCATTACTGGTACTATAAGAAACTCTTTTTATCTGACCTTTATCGTCCACGAAGCCATATGTTCCCTTTATGTGACCAAGTACATCCCTACTCTCGATTTTGAAAGAGCCATCATCCGCTTCATAACCTATTGTATATGAGCCGTCTTCGTTGATTTTTTTAATTTTTTTGACAATTTCCAATTTCCTGTTGTTGGATTCTGATAGAATAACGTCATCTTCATTTTCTTGTGTCGATGTGCTTTCAGAAAAAGCACCAGACAAGAAAATCAAAATGAGATACAGATGTACCTGAAACAAATAAATTCAAACTTTTTATTGTACATATGATCTTGTTTTTGGATAAAATTTTATTGTTAACATAGATGATTATTACACTCTCCCAGGTAGCTGGAATAGAAGAAATATTATACAGCGGGAGTCCCAATACTTCGATATATCGTTAATACTGATATACCAATATGAAAAAAGCTTATACAGGGCTTTTCATGATGAGCGTTAATTAGCCGTTTCTGACAAACTATTTAACGGATCATATATCAATATGACCTACACGCCTAAAATATTTCAGACGAAGCGGCGTTGTCGTTTCTACTATAAAGTAGCGGCTTCTTTGATTTTTCAAATGGAACACCCCGTATATAATATCATATTATGATTCATTATCACTTTGTCAACAAATTCATATACTATTTCCCTATAGCTATCTATTACCGTTTAGAAGATATAAATTAATTTCGATATTTTTTTTACCAAACATGAACTTTTATAAATGCTGATAATCTTGAACTCTCTTGCACTAAAACGATCAAATTTGAAATGGAGATGAGTGATACTATGAGGATCTTCACGCCGAGTCATATTTTCATTTGCCTCATACAGGGTCTTCAAAAAATGCAGATACTTTGATCTCGGGAAAAAATGAGTGGAACTCAATTTTTTCAAATGAAACACCCTATATATTTCAACATTTTTGAGCTCTACATCCAATTTTAGATTAACTCTGTTCAGATAATACTATTTCTATTGGACACAGTGGATATCCACTACATTGTTATCTACTCACTTTGTCAATAAGAATAATTATTCTTGGACAATAAAGTACAGTTTGATTTGATTTGATTTGATCTATTTTGAACCGTTTTCGAGATAAACTGTTTCAAACGGAAACTGACGTGGTTTTCTTGCTCGTTTTTTTGAATTCATCACTTATTTTGGATATGATCAGAAGCGCTACACATGACAATCTTTTGAAGAGATTACATGTTTGTTTAAGTAGAGGTGGAGATGTGTTTGAACATATTCTGAAATACACTGACGATTAAATTACCTCATTAATTATGTTTATAAGGTTTCTCTTTTTACTGTGTGGAGACTTTTGAAGAGGAATAGGTATCATCCATACAAAATTAAAATGGTATACCAATTAACTGAAGATGACCGTGATCGAAGAACAGAATTCTACGAAATCATGATGGAAACCATTGCAAGGTATGCTACCTATCTCCACACTATTTGTTTTAGTGACGAATGTACATTTTTTAAACGGCAATGTTCACAGACAAAATTGCCATTATTGAAGTGACACCAACCCTCACGTTTTCCGGGAAACACATACCCAATATCCAGAAGAAATAAACGTTTGGGCAGGAATATTGGGAAACCATATTGTAGGACCTCTATTGATCAAAATTTAACAGGGGAACTGTATTTGAATATACTGGAAACTACTGTTGACCCTCTCATCACTGAAATTGTCGAAGCAAATCCTAATGAATTCGATATGGATATTGTATTCCAACAATATGGAGCACCACCACATTACTCGAGGCAAGTAGGAAACTATTTGGATACGACTTTTCCCGGTCGTTGGATTGGCCGTCGAGGTCCTACGGAATGGCCAGCCCGCTCGCCAGATTTGAAACCTTTGTACTTTTTTACGGGGCTTTTTGAATCATAACATGCACGAAACTGAACCTGCTTCAATATTGGATATACGGCAGAGAATAATAAATATTTGTAGAGATATTGACATTACTGTGTCCGAAAATGTTCGGCTTGAAATAACGGATAGGCTGTTCATATGTCAAGAAGTTTAAGGCAACCATTTTGAGCATTTTCTGAACAGACCTCAAGCTTATTACCTCATATTATATAGTTAAATGTCAATGTATTCAGGCAATTATTAAAAGTTCCGCCATTTTGTAGTAGTTGAAGATATTGACATTATATTCTAGGGTTGTAAAACATTTGTCAGGAGCTTCAAAAAGATGTGACACAAGACCCCCTTTTCCATTTAATTTTTTTCTCAGATGGCGCCCAGTCGCCATTTTGAAAGTTCCATCTGTCAATTTCACTTCAAAATAAAGTATTCATGCATTCATTTCATTATCCCAAATTTCAATTTTTTGAGTTGACCCGTTTAAAAAATAAAAGGGGGAGGGGCATTAAAGAAATGCACTGTATAGTGAAATGGAGAGATTTTTTTAAAATTACAATAGTTGAATGTTTTGTAACATAAACGAAACATGTTGGGATACGAGTTTATGTGCGCTTTCTTTTCAGAATCATCCATATAATCATCCCCTTAATATTAACATGACATTCAGGAACACCCTGTATATTTTCTTTTTCAATTTTCAATTCAGAATATGTACTCAGAGAAAATAAGTTCAAGTGGTGCGTCAAATTTTTTCCATTTCCTTTTTCATTTTCTCAAAATATTAACTTCGGGAAAATAACCATAAATGTTCTCACCCAGAAGACAGTTCATTCTAACAACTAAGTGTGAAAAAAAATCTTGGGATGAACCTACGTAATAGAAGGATGGATATTTCTTGAATGCCCCTAATTAGTTTTCCAAAAACCACGATTCAGAAAAATTAGTAATTAATAATTGATTATTCTTGAAATCACAACGATTTATATGGCACCCCATGAGAAATAAATTCAAATCTGAACTCGCACGCAAAATGAGTAGTTCCCACACTTTTCCTCATTCAAAAAACAAATCAATAAACATACCTGTCCAACTTCTGCCATAGTCACCACTGATAAATACTAAATCCCGTATATGTCTTGAAACGACTATATAACTTGGTGAAAAACACCAACCAAGTAAACTAACAATGAAAACATCGTGGGAGGAACATCCTTGAAACGGACGTCTGTCAGAAATTAAAAACACACCAAGATGAAAAAGTAGTGCACATCTAGTGAAAGTGACACAATGAATGCATCGTTTGTTTCCATGGGATGTTATGTTCATTGTTATAAAAAATAATAAGATAATTACTTTGTTTGGCTCAAGAGATATATTTATGTAATGAAATTTAGGTGCTTGATGACTGTAATTCAAGAAATGCAATAAATGATATTTGTAATTTGATGATATATAATTAAAAAATGATTTTTGATGCCTCTACATCACATAACTTCTGAAAATCAACACAAAATCAGCTCGGCAAGTCATTTCGTATATCATTTTGAAAAACAGTATCTCAAAATAGAGAATCTACTTGTCTCTAAAATTTTTATATAATTCATTTAACGTTTCTTTACGAACGCACTCGTATAGAATTTAGTCCGGAGGGAATTTAAAAAACAAAACAGTATTCAAAGTTTGAATTGAATGGGGAATATTTTTACAAGAGATTATTGTTTGGGAGGGAAACGTTTTGAAAAAAAAACATTTTCAAACAAATACTTTTATATGAACGCTGAATTTTACGAAAAACGTTCTTCTCTATTCAGTTTGTATTCCAAACATTCATGATGAAATCGAATCAGATATCATTCATAGGATTCCTACACAATATTATTTATGAAAGTAGTAAAATTTCACTTAGATGGAACACTGTCACCCTCACTGGTGGACATCCGGTGTTTCGGCATAAGACACTTGCTTTATCGCCTCTTCAGCACCAAATCTGGAAGAAATTATAAGATGAATCCACGAGAATTACGACTTTATATCACGAATGAGTTCAGTCTACTCATGTCATCGACGACAGTACGTCGTAATGACATTCATTCGCTTATTTGATTAAATTCCAGCCAAAGGAAGCAAATTTTAACAGCTTTCTGAATGTGTAATAATACACAGGGTGTTCCATTTGAAATAATCAACTTTCAGTCACTTTTTCAAACGAACGAAAAAACTGTATTTTTTACCACCCTGTATTGAAGTAACGGAGATTACGCTGAACCAAATTTCGGTACCATAGTTAGTATTCCTTAACTCAAAGATTTCAGCATTTTTAGAGAATTAATATTAATTCATATTTCGAAAACGGTAACAGATAGGTATAGGAAAATATCAATAAAAGTTGTCGGGTAATTGTTTTACATTCAAAAAATAATATTATATGTAGGGTGTTCCGTTTGAAAAATCAAAATTGCTACTACTTTCTAATGGAAGTGCCAACACCGCATTATCGAAAATATTTCAGTTGGGAGAAAATGTCCAAATATGCCCTGCCTTGAATTTTAAAAGGTGATCCGTTTTGTCTGGTTCACCAGAAACGTCTAATGTGCCAACCACCGTTAATAGCTCACAAACATATTAAGGAAAACAAAATTTGAATACTATCAAAAACGAATCAATTCAAACTCCTCAGATAACACCCGGTTATGGAAAATAATTCAAGAAATAACCAATACGAAAAGAAGTAAACGATCAATCATATCAATAAAAAATAAAGCAGGGGTTACTCTTAACATAAAACTAGAAATAGCAAACGAATTCAATTCAATACAGGGCTTTTCATGATGAGCATTAATTAGCCGTTTCTGGCAAACTATTTAACGGATCAACCTGAAAATTCCAAGCCAAGTTATATTGATCTAACCAGCGGCGTTCAAATTTTCTTTGCAAATATCTGGCATGAGAAAAAAAATCATAATTTGATGATGGTACCCAGGGATTTGTCAGCAATTTCTTCTTTTTTATCGCATCCCATCACAGTTTCTACTCAGTTTTAAGATCATAATATATTCATTTAAAATTAAGCAAAGTTTCAATTCAAAATGTTCTTTTCTACAAAAATTGAGAAATTACTTAACCTACCTTTTTGGACCAGTTTCTTATATCCACTTAAGCAGCCTCAGTTTGAACATCAAACGTAAATAAGAAGTTGAACTGATAAACTGTAACTGGAATAGATAGATAGATAGATGATATGTTTATTCATCACTGAAGTTTTACAAGATACAGCATATAAACTCGAACAATTACATATAAATTCGAACAATTGTTTATCAAAAGAAACACATAGATTCCTTTACCAACCGCTAGGTGGCTCTAGATCAGTGTGGCGGATGTATGATAGCTATAAACTTGTATCTATAATTCTTATTTGTAGTATTATTTTTATGTTGTTTTCCTATAGAAAATAATTGTATACGATTGTATTACGCGATAATGTAGATCGGCAATAAAATAACGATAATTTACCTTAATTTCATAATTTTCAATAGCGCCAAGTATTTTTTGACTTATTGAAATAGTCATTTTATGAATTGTAATGAATTCCAGCAACAAAATGTAATAAAAATGTAATATTGTTCGTTACTTGAATATTCCTGCGAGGAGTAATAACAATTCGCTAGTAAGACGATTATCACTTTATTTTAAACTAGTTGTTGCCCGCGGCTTCGTTCGCGTAGAATTTGGTCCGTAACAGACCATTTTAAACAAACAGTTAGGTACAATATTTTCTCATTAACCCAAAACTTCAAATTTCCAATTTCAAAACTGACGAAATTCAATACAATCTTTGAGCCCCTATTTTTTACCCTTTGGGCTGCAAATTCCTGATTCCCTTTCTTGATGCTTATTTACACTATACAAAGAACCTACCTGCATATTTCAGGATTCTAGGTTCAGTTGCTTTGGCTGTAGGTTAATATAAGAGCGGGCAACAGCTAGTAATTTATATTTTTGCTTTTAAAGTACAGTAACTAAAAGATATGCCAACTGCATTAAGTAATAGATAGCTTCGAGAACCGAACTATATTACCTATAAATAAATGCGAGAAACTAACACCACCGTCAACGACGTCTGGCGTCACGCGTCTGCCCGCGTTCTCGGCTTAGACCTCCCCTCTATTCCCGCGCATCGTCCCCCGTCGCCTTACAGTATACGCGACCCGCAATGGCTTACTGCGTTGCGTCAACTCAATCTTATCGTGATAACTTTCAAACGATTTGTCCAAATTACTTAGTGTAAAAGACAACGTTTATTTGAAATGAAGGGGTTATATTTTTAGAAGTGATTAATTTTTGGGAAAGAACGTTTTTGGAATACAAACTGAGAAAAGTATCTTCTGTATAATTCAGTGTTCGTGTAGAAGTATTTGTTTCGAAAGAATTTTTTCTTTCATGTAATTCAATGTTTATATGAAAGTAGCTGTTTCACGAGGGCTTTCTTCCAGTTTGTGTCTGAAAGTTGCTTCTTTGCATGATCTACACATCCACGTATAGAATTACTTATTTTCAAATTGATTACTTCCTTCCTTTCTTTGGAAGATTCCCACATTTTTCTGCATCAAGATGGAGTAGTAGAAAGCCAAAAAATAAGTATTTTTTTTATGTAAAATTTCATCTAAATCCGTTCAGTCGTTTAGGCGTGAAAGAGCCACATACATACATTTATCCATCCTCACAAACTCTCACATTTATAATATTAGTATAGACATCTATGAATCTTTAGTCAGCTTATAAAGCATGGAATTGTATTTTGGTGAATGTTCAAAGTCTATTCATTTGTCTTTGGGATTGGTAGGGATTACCATGTCTGCTTTTATTGTAGTGTCAGGAATCACACCTTAAAAGGAAAAACCTTATTAGTCCCTAGCTCGCACAAGTTTTGCCTTTTGAGAGTTGTCGTTTGTAGGGGTGGCAACATCTGGTTAATTGAAAAACCAATTTTGAACAGATTTTTAAACTATTCTGGGATGACCCTATGTACAGGATGTTCCATTTGAAATAAACTGAGAAAAAAGTTATCCCGAGTTTCGTTAACCTCTGTATAGAAAAATAAACTAACCTAAAGTTTATTTGATTGAATATTTTCCTCCTTCCATTTCAGATTAGGCCCCCAGAGATTTTCTCCTGTTTCCAAGATTGGAGACTCATGAAAGGACGGCGTTTTGCAACGATTGAGGAGATATAAACCGAAACTCTGAAAGAGTGAACAGTCAATAATTGCCAAAAACTGTTTTGAAATTATTTGTGAAACAATGAAAAAATTAGTTTGTTTTTGTGTCCCCAACGAAAGCGGATCATCAAGCATTTTGTTCTGTAATACGAGGGAAGATATCGAGAAAGAATTTAGACATCATGACAGCAAGAGTCTCACAAGGAAGAGAAGCCGTCACAACCCTACATCGGAGGATTATCGGAAAGCATAAGTAGAGTTGGGTCCAAGTACATCAGAACTTGCTACACATCCGGAAACACGTATCCGTAGCAGCCTCACGAAAACCAAGCCACCAAACGCGGACTGCGATTCCAAGAATTGCATTTACTGGATACCCTGTGAGTGCGGAAAATCCTATATCAGTGAAACTAAGAGACTATTGAAAGTTTGCATTGCCAAGCAAAAGAAACACACACAGCTAGGGAAAACCAGCAAATCAAGAATAGCAGAGCATGTTTGGATCCATCAACACAACATCGAGTGGTCCCAAGCTGAGATCTTGCACAGAGAGGAACATTGGTTTAGGAGAAAATTCAAGGAAGCCGTTTAAAAAAAAAATTTATTTTCAACTTTTTAGTTCGATGTTCTCTAAAAGCGTGTTTTTTAGTTTTTTTAAACTATATTTATTTTTTACTTTCATATGCTATAAAAGCGTGTTTTTTAGTCTATATTTATTTTATCTAAACTTTGGGATCAATCACCAGTATATTGTTTAGAAAAATGACCATCAATAGTTTCTGATTACGGAGAGGGAGCCAGAAAATCAGCTATCAAGCCCAAGGCGCGCAAAGGAGGGTTACAAATGAGGCAGCAGGCGCGCATGTTAATAAAACAATACTTTTTTCAAACAAAGAAATACATGTAAAGTGAGTTCGAATTATATCAAAGAGGTTACGTATAGCGCCATCTGCCCGCGAATAGATCAAGCAATGAGGTTACGTACAGCGCTATCTGCCCGCGAATAGATCAAGCAATAATGTCGGTATACCAATGAGGTTACGTATAGCGCCATCTGCCCGCGAATAGATCAAGCAATGTGGTTACGTACAGCGCTATCTGCCCGCGAATAGATCAAGCAATAATGTCGGTATACCAATGAGGTTAAGTATAGCGCCATCTGCCCGCGAATAGATCAAGCAATGAGGTTACGTACAGCGCTATCTGCCCGCGAATAGATCAAGCAATAATGTCGGTATATCAATGAGGTTACGTATAGCGCTATCTGCCCGCTAATAGATCAAGCAATAGTGTTGATAATTCTGTCAAATCCCGACCTTGAGAGTAACAAACAAACAAACAAACATACACAAAGGTGAAGCTAATGAAAGCGCGAGAAAAAACAATCTCAAGTTTTTCCTGCTGATTAATAGAAGACGTGAAAGTTTTTTGTTGCAAATCAAGTTTGGGATACTTTAGCATAAAATTATGTAAGTATCATTCAAGGTCAAACATGAAAAATCTTGTTTCTGTTGACTATTTTCACGTGAAATGAAAAACCTCTCTTTAATACTGTTTAAGGTGTCTCTTTAAATCAAACAAGTTATGTTTTTGGTAAACTTTATAGATCTATCACCAACCAATAAAATTATAGATATAAAACAACAAATATAATAAAATTCATCTTCCTCAATTCAGCATTTTTCTGATCATATAATTCAAAATACCACCATGCCTATAAAACAATAAATCTTCTTCCGAATCAAACCTCAAAATCACTTCAAACTCCTTTCCAGAGTCAGTGTTCACTTTGATGTGTTGTCCGTACTCAATATCAAATGGTAAGTTGACAGTGAACAATTCTTTTCCCGTTAACCCAATTGTTTCGGCTCCTTGGCCAGGAAGAAATTGGAGAGGGATAATACCCATTCCAACGAGGTTGGAACGATGAATTCGTTCGAATGATTCAGCAATAACAGCTTTAACGCCCTAGAAACAAAAATTAAATAAGTATGATATTATTGAAAAAGTGAATTGAAAAAAAGGCGACTTGAGAATATAGGCTTACAAGGCCGGAGTAGTGAAGACCCACACCCTGAACGATCGATCAGCCTTACATCCTTCCTGTTGAAAGGACTTGAGAGGATACTGAACACACACACACACACCAGGAAGGTGGCATTATATGCAGCTACCCTGAATAACCACCAGTATGCATATAAAACCGGCAAATCGACAGATTTAGCGTTAAACAGCCTTGTAGAGAAAATTTCCCAATCGCTCCACAACAAAGAGAATGCGGTTGCTGTATTTCTCGATATTGAAGGAACATTTGATAATGCATATATGATGGAATCGGCCGATGAAAATCCATAACTAACGTATTCTAAAAACACTTTATTGTGTGATTTTCACTAGATAGTTTCACAAAAACGCAACACGTGTTTCGCCATACAATGGCTTCCTCGGGCGTGTCTTAATAACTAATTCTATAGTAAAACCAATAATGATTGAGAGTAAAGCGCGTTGTCATATCTAAATTTTAAGTTACCAATTTATAGCAGAATCAAAATATAGTAAGCAGTAGAGTTGTAGGTTGTGGCAAATTTTAGATAATACACAATACTAGTACGATTAAAAGGTATTATTTATGACAAAAATCAGTAATGAGCTTGTAATGAGTAATACTTATACATTTCCTGATTACTGATCAGTTAAAATTCATTATTTTCTGTATAGTGTTAGATATTTATTACAACTAGTGGCAACGCTGTACGCAACGATATTTCTGTCTTTGTCACTTTACCG